TCCTTTCGCCTCATGGGTAGGTTCTTCGTAAACATAACCATTTCCAGTTTGATCATGTTTATGATGATAATCATTAAATAGTGTAGAACCATGAAATGCGTCATTTACCATCCCAGCTAAACATTCTCACCATCATAATATTTTTTTGATTAGCACTTCTCAAATCAGCATTATCATAATGACTACTAGTTTCTGCCCCAATTACATCATAATATTCACCATATTTAGACAATACATAATATCCAGAGCATAAATCCTCTACTATGAAAATGCTTTGAAACGGTTCGAGCTATTTTTTAAACTACCAGAGTTTTGACATTTAACACAAAGACAGTATAACTTACATCTACTCCTTAGAGGTAAGTCCAGATTACTTGCGAAATTGATAAATTGCTCGATCTCGTCCAAAACTTCATTTGATAGATTAATCGTGCGCGGATCGATCTTTTATACATCCACTCTCAAGTTGAATGCCATATTCTTTATATATTTTTTTTACGTTTTTTTGAATTTTTCTTTGTGTTTGATAGGATGATTTGTGAAAATGAGGTGTGGACTCGTTCTTTGTATAGGCAAAAAACGTGTGACTCCTTGAGACTACTAAAAAACAGTCACAGATTTGTTACTCTTTTGCCACTCATTTGCGACTACTTTGAGAAGTTAGTGAGGTAAGGTACACTTAGTAATATTCGTATTTACCACATTGTCAACTATTTTTTTGATTGCCGACATAAACTTTTTAACTGAACTGTGACTCTTATGCAATGGTTTAAAATGGTATCATATTGATTGTAAATTTGGGACTGATTGGCGACTAACATACTGACTATAACAACAGTCATAAAGCACTCAAATCTATGACTGTTTTACGACTACAATAGAATAGTCGAATAGTAGTCTGAAATCAGTCGCTACTTTAGGACGTTTATACGACAATTTGTTTCGGTCGTAAATTTGCCACCATTTGTTCACTCTATCGCCTGTAGTTGCAAATGAGTCACATAACAGCCGTAAAATAGTGGCAAAATTTTGTGACAAAAACAAAATAGTCACAAAAAGTAGTCACTGATGGTCTGTTTTCTTGTAGTGCTAATCTTA